TGCCTCCCAGACACTGCCTTGTGACGCCCCACCTGACCAGGAAGAAGGGAGGTAATATGCTAGGGATTTGCAAGAAGAGCAAAGTAAGAATAAAGGGTTTTCTAGGCATCAGGGATAACGTATGTTCAGAATCCCAGAAAGACTTAAAAAACAAGAAAGAAAGGGAAAAAAAGATCCAGTATGGTGGTCAGGAAAATAGGATTTACCAAATTGACTCCATTCGTTGCTTCACTTCTTCATGAAAATCCTCATTAGCCAAGTTCCTTTTCAAGAGATTTCCCCCCAATTTAGAAGAAAAAATTAATTGATAACAGTATAGTTTCTATTGTGTATTTTTTCAATAGTAACATAAATATTAGAACTGAAGTTCGTCACAAACTTTCCTTTGTGTGTCTGTGTGTGTGTGTGTACATGTGCACCGGGCATGTGTGTCCACCTCCCCCCCACCCCAAATCCCTTACTGTGAATTTAGTGCTTGTGAAAAGTAACTGTGGAACTTGGTAATGGAACCGTCTGGTCAGCAGAAGGGCTGATGTTCCGCCACCCGGCCTCTGTGTAATTTGTCTTATCCTTGGCATTCAATAGGGGGCACTTTGAAGGGTCACCCAGTAGGTTGAGCCTTTCTTAGTCTTCAGCCTTCAAGAATCTGTGGCTAACATGCCAATTAAAGTGGTGGTTTTTGTTATGACGCCTTAATAACTGGACTCAGAACATAATTTCATTTATTTCATACAGCTCAGCAGGGGGAAACTACTCACTGCTACCACCTTGTCCTGATTTCAGTCTGGACACAGATACTGAGAAGGGGGCTCTGTGGTCTGATAACCAAGCCCCCAAGTGAAAGCTGTGCTTCTCTTGTTGGTGTTCTTGGGGTGTCTTCCTGATTCTGGCAGGGTCTGACCTCTGGCAGGGTCTTTGAAGAATAATTTTCTTCGTTGCATTAGTAAACAAAATTTAGAAAAATAGTGTACGGTTATTGGCGAATTTGAAACATGTGCATATGCTTTTAGAGGAAAGTATTTTTACCAGTTTACCAAAGACAATTATTTGTTTATGGGGATTTCTCGAACAAACAAAATGTTGGTAAAAATTTACCACTTAATAAAAGCAAGTTGCTTTAAACTGAGTCATGCCACAGAAGATTTTGTTTCTGATTCAGAGATGCACAAAAATGCAAACAGATCTGATGTTTGATGACATAATTCCTGGCTTTCTAGAACAATCATATTTACGTATAAAGCAGGAATACAAACATAGAGACCTATTCTCATAATGAAAGTATGTGACCTTGTATCTCATATGCTATATTTAAGTTATTCTTATTCTTAGGCTTAAAGTAAGCATGCCTTTGGCACTCCTCGGTGTTCTGTGACCTTAACTATAGTGTAGTTTTGGGGTTTTTTTCCAGAAGGGCAATTAAAATGGAAAATTAGGCTTATTGAGTAATTGAACAATATTCCTCCATCTTGGTGTTTACAGACTCTCACTTAGCAAAATAAGGGTCAAAATACCAACTCTGTGGAGTGACAGAGCACCTTCTCTTTAGTTCCTGCTAGTTGCTGCCACCAGCTCTCCCTCCACGACCTTAACATTGTATTTTCATGAGCATTTCACAATATTTCTCATCTCTTGTTCCCAGTCTTGACCCACTGACCCAAGAATCAAGAAAATGTCATGTTAGTGCCTACTAATTAGTGCACCCAGAGAGCCTTTTCATCTGGCCTTTCAACCTTCTGGAGATAGGAGCACAAGCTGTCACTCATATCATGCCGGGAAAATGAGCCTTTACTACATTTTCCCTGTTTTGGAAACAGCAGAATACGGCCAGCTGAGACTAGAGATGAATATGCAGGTTAGGAAGAAATTAACCTAAAATACACTACTGTTTGCATGACGGTCCTGTAGATGACACAGCACCGTCCTCTTTGAAATTCCCGGAACAGAGGGCCGGGTGCCTGAGATTTTTGCAAGACCCTGGCTGTTGCAGCTCATTTTTATTTCAATACCGTTATTTTCATTTGGTGAAATTATTTTAAGCCAAAGATATTTTCCAATTAAAACAATTAAGTAGCGTTTCAAGTTTTTAGACAGGTTTTTAGGGAAGACTGGAGTTTGTTAGTGAGCGTTTGGTTCCAGAGCTCATTAATCAGTGCTGTTGGGCCAGGGTCTCCTGAGCCTTCTGGGTTTTGGGGGATCAGCTACTGTAATTAAAGGGATGAAATATATCATGGTCACAAACTTACCGCATCAGACAATTGAAGGTTTTGAACTAGTAAAATTAATCTTCTTAATTTTTTCCTGTAGGTGTTTAAGATAGAAGTGCTAATGAATGGAAGAAAACATTTTGTTGAAAAAAGGTACAGCGAATTCCATGCTTTGCACAAAAAGGTAACCTTTGTTTCTTGGTTTTTATTTTCTTCCCTCTCCTCTATATGGCCGATGGTACAACATTAAGACTCTTTTCTGTGGGCCTAAGTGTTAATATTTCTTGTGTATGTACAGTTCCTTTTATCACAAAGCAAATTTCCTCTTACTCAGTCCCTTAAAGGTGTGCTCTCTGGTACGTGGATTTTCTTTTAAGATTTGTTTACTCCTCAATTGTAAAGTGAGTATCAGAAAAAAGATTTGCATATAAAAATCTGGGGCTGCAAGCTGTTTGCAGTATGTTGCTTTGGATGTTAGTAGGTTCAGAAAGAACAAGACCAGACCCTATTTTATCTATGAAATATACTCAGTGTTCTTTACATAAAGGAAAGAAAGCAAATGATCATTTCACAAGAAGAAATTTGTTAATATCAACTTTACTTCCATGTACCTGGTCGAGGTCATGTACAAGTACAAGTGCATTGTATTCAAGTACTGGGAACCCATGTAAAGAGCTCAAATCCTTCTTTTGAATTATAAACTGATGTTTCAATTCCTGATCCACTTCATCTAAAGCAGTGCTCTCAGCCTTCCTAATGCTACAATGTATTTTCATTGTTAAAAAGAGGTCATGACCCACAGGTTGAGGTCACCCTGCTGAAAAGAGGCTGGGTGTGGTGGCTCTACTATAATCCTAACACTCTGGGAGGCTGAGGAGAGTGGATTGCTCGTGCTCAGAAGTTCAAGACTAGCCTGAGCAAGAGCGAGACCCCGTCTCTAAAAACTACCTGGGCCTTGTAGCAGGTGCCTGTAATCCCAGCTACTTGGGAGGCTGAGGCAAGAGGATTGCTTGAGCCCAAGAGTTTGAGCTACGTGAGCTATGATGCCAGGGCACTCTATTAGGGCAAAAAAGTGAGACTCATCTCAACAACAACAATAAATAATAATAAAAGAAACAGAAATGCAAAGGAATAGCTGAGTTTGAGGGAGAAATAGTAAAGTTTAGATGAATGAATACTTTTTTATTTTCTATCCAGATTTAATTTTTTGTGGATTATAAATTATTATTGGGATGCTGAAATTATCATAACAATTAGAAATACCTCAAAATCACCATATATGAGTCACTATAATCCTACCATTTTCTTTCATGCATAATGAAATATATATAGTGTGCATGTGTATATATATACACAAATAAAATATATATATACACACACACCCATGCACAATGTGTGGCAGTTCAGTTTCTTCACTTTGTTAGAAGTTCGATGGCTAGATATTAAGTATGTTAAGAAAGGTAGAGTCTGTTTTAATTTCATTAAAAGCCTCTTAAATTTTTTGGAAAATGTCATTTCACAAATGATGTGATAGTGTGATAACTCTACATTAAAAGATTTTTAACATTTTTAAAAATTAAGTTTTCTCACTTTTTTTTTTAGTCAGGAGAATAGAGAATTGAGTATAAACTGTACCAGAATATTACTGAGAGGTTAGTGAGACTGTTTTCCTCTTTTTTCTTTTGAAAGGGAGCTCTAAGTTATCTGTACACGTCTCTGTTAGAATGACGTGGGATAATTTGCATGAGTTCTCCAGTTAGAACTTTGTTAAATCTGGATGTCCTCCAAAGGAAACAACACAGGTGAACACAGATTTAGACCAGGTGTTTGCAGCAGACTTCAAAAAGCACCCAGCCTGGAGGCCTCAAAGAGAAAGAAATCCATAATCTAGGTCTTGCTCCCTTTTGGTGGAATTCTGATTTTGTGTGTTTTTGGAGGAAACAGATTCTAGAGAGGTTTCTGTCCCATACCTGATGAAACGAGTCCCTACGACTGAGATTAAAACCAGAACTCCCATTCAGGCCTCTTCCTAACTTCCAGCACACCCCCCGGCCGGCCGACATAGCCCTGCTGTTCCCTCTGTGCACTCAGGCACAGCAGGGACCCTGCCACTAAGGTCCCCCCAGAGCTATTTGAGTGGAGCCTGGTTCACCCTCTTCTCTCTAGTTCCATCTGTTTCCTCCTGCAGAAGAGGACCTCTCCCCTGTCATCATAGGCAGTTCTTAGATATTCACGGGCAGAAAAAAATCCCGAGATTTTCTGGGACTCGCTGTCCTTTCAATTTCTGCAGTTCTGTTAATAAATCTCGCTAGTCTAGTAGTTACTTAATGAGGCCTTCCAGAGTTAATAAAACAAATTCTCATGGCTCCCAATTTTGCATGTTTTAAGCTGGATGTTTGAGACATCTATACAGGGTCGTAGAGATAAAAACAGCTTTGTGGGACAGAGTTTTAGTGGGGATACACTGATCTTATGCATTACAGAGGGGGTAGCAGCTGCTTGGAGTCTTTTACTTTGCCCTACTGGGATTGTTTTAGATTTGACAAAAAGGTAACTCTAAGAGGCAGTTAAAGGCAATTTAATATAAGTAGCAGTAAGAGTGTAAAGATAAACAAAAATTGGTAATCATAACAGTAAAGTTGTGTTTGGGGAGGGATTGAAACAGGTGAAAATTTGATCAGAATGCACAGCTTGTAATGATTGCTGCTGCCCCATTGTGCCACTTCATCCTTCCATTGCAATTGTGTTGTCTTCAATTTCCAAATTTGTCCATATTTGTGACATGCTTTGAATGTTATCAAATATTTTCCCTTTATAAAGCATAGTTAAATCTATTTTGTTTAATTTTTTTGAAATATTTGACTGCATTACCTCTCCAAAAATTACATTTGTTTATTTAGTGAGCATGTATGTTGCCCTGTTGTTGTAGTTTGGAGAAAAGGCCTTGCCCTGTCCCCTGGGCTACAGTGCAGTGGAATAATCATGTCTCAGTGCAGCCTCGACCTCCTGGGCTCAAGTGATCCTCCTACCTCAGCCTCCTGTGTAGCTGGGACCATAAGTGCACATCATCACTCCTGGCTAGGTTTTTTATTTTTGTAAAGATGGGGTCTCACTGTGTTGCCCAGGCTGTTCTAGAACTTCTGGCCTCAGGTTGTCTTTCTGCCTGAACCCCCAACGTGCTGGAATGACAGGGTTGAGCTGCCAAACCTTGCCCTGGCCCTTTGCTGTTTTAATCGGTATTTCTTACGTTTGTTTAGGAGTTGTAGTCCCTCTTTTTTGAATTATCTATTTATGTTTTTCTTTCATTTATCTGCTGGGGTCCTAGTTTTTACATATTACGTTGTGTGGCTTCTTAATGAAGTCTTAGCCATGCGCCAAAAGTACTTTTTTTTATTAAAAGTCTTTTTTATTTTGGTTATAATATTTAATTTACAAAAGCTTTATAAATTCTTATATTGTCATCCTCTTATCCTTT